TGTGGAACATAGTTCAGTTAAGCACCTTGTGTACAGAAGCATCTTGATGTTAATAGCCCCTGGGCAATATGATTCAGGTATATTATCATGCTGTGTGTATATATTGTAGCATTTAAGGGCATCATCTTGCAATATGCTGGTGTACCTCATCCTCTCTGCATCTTATCCCTTCAGTTCTCAGCCATGAGCCCTGAAAGAACTAATCCCAGCACCATCCTGATACGCAAAGCTTTTTTATCACTGACTGAATTTAGAATCCCACATCTCCAGCTCATATAAATGAGGGCAACCACTCACTGGAGAGCTGCTGATTTACGCCATGGAGGATCTGACCTGGAAATGTATAAACCTCTCTGAGGTTCTTCATGACAGATGCAGAAGATTGTTAATAGCAGTGTTTGTAACATAAAAAAGGAAGTGTGAAAACACGGATCATTCCCCCCACAAACACAGAAGATGTATGTTATAAACTGCAGTCGGAGTCTGTTCACATCAGTTCTTTGCATGCTCTAACAGTATGTCACTTCCAGGATGGCTCAGGAGGTGCTAAGCCTTGGCACAGAAAGCAACCAAACGTCATCAGCTGCCACCAGATTTTCCTGAGGAACGCATCCCTGTGCAAGAGCTCGCATCAGAATCGAGGTTTTGTGTCTGAGCCTTCACGTGGCTGAGCAGAAGGCAGTGCTGGGGGAGCAGTGCGTGCTTTGACAGAGGACTGAAGCGATGCTGAGCTGAAGCTGAGCAGCAGAAGGCTCGGTTGTATCAGCTTCTCCTAGGTGACATTGTTTGCTTTCTCTGGGTGAATGTTTTAAAAGGCATCTGTTGAAATGTCTTGCAGAATTCACACAACATATGTGCAGGCTCCTATGCAAATAGGGAGCACATCCCTTTTGCCACTTGAGCTTGGTTTAAACTTTGCCGTAAATTCACTTTGTTGGTGGGTTTGGGTTTCTTTTTGTCTTGGGCATCACCTGTTCCTGTCCTTGTACACGAAAGGTGCTGCACCGCATGTAAACACAGGTTGAAACAGGAATTGCCTTCCGAGAACAGGGGCAGAGCAAGACGTTTCGAGAAGACTTCAGGTCTGATGTCCACTACACAAGTGTCCAGCTTTAGAGATCCTGAACCTGTGCTTGCAGAAGGTTTGTGAAAGACTGACAGTGAAATGAGGCCCTCCTTCAACTTAGAGTGGCTTCATAGATCAGACAGCAACTGAGTGCATGCATACAGCAGAGGAGCGAATCCGTATGTCCACTCAGCTGTAACTGCAATCCCCACTGCATAGAGGGAACTGCAGACCCATGGGGGTGACATGCCCACCGCAGGCCGTATATCCATTTCAGGGTACAAGATGTATCAGGAAACATGTTCCTCTGGCAGTCCACCAATGCAAGCAGCGCAAAAAGAGGGCAAAGCTCTGACACTCTGCTCCAGGGCAGCACTTTCTCAAGTTCTTATGCAAGAGCATGGTCTGAACAGAGACCTTCTGAGCCTGGTCTACTGGTTCGTATGGAAATACAACACCGTTCGGACTGGCCCAAGAGTTCTAGCTTGTGAAACAGAAGAAACGCAAAGTTCTTGCTTGGTATGAGTCCAAGAAGAGAAATTAGATCTGCAAAGGAGGAGTTTCTCCACAGAGATGCCTGCTCCCTTCCTGAGCCTAACGAGTTCTGGGCAGTGCTGTGCCATGATACCAGCACACCAGTGGCTGGAGCAACATGGCACTGTGGTCAGAGTGCTCCGAAACCGCTGATGCTCAGTGGATGAGGGAATGCTGCAGAGCTGAGCCCTCTTCTGCTGAATTAATCACGGAGACACTGGCAGAATTTTAAGATGTTGCATTGGCTGTAAAAAGATGCGGCTGCTTCGAGGCTGTAGCACAGAGAATTTGGAAAACAAGAGAAATGGCACTGCTGGATGATGCTCCCAACTCCAGTGTATGTGCTGTGCGCTGGGTGAGCTTTATTTCCTTCATTTCCCTCTCCAAAGAGCTTTGCAAATTGTGCCCAGAATGCATGATGTAGCAGAGAGGCATTAAGTGGCACATGGGTGCAGGATGGTGGTGAGGAAGATGTGCACCACTGCTGACTTTCAAAAGTAATCCCTGTAACCATGGGATGTTTTCTTTTTTCCAGTAGTCATCTCCCATTGCCCAGAATACAGAGCTGGGCTGGACTGAGTGGAATGCTGGGTGACAGCAGTGTACAACCTCTGCTGCCTCGCGGGGAATGTGGAGATCTTATTTACACCCTGTTCATTAATTATGTCCTGCATCTTCTATAGGAGCCAACAAACACCATAAACAAAAAGGAGAGATGCCTGAGAAAAGCATGACTCAAATCCATTGCAGGAATGAACTACTGCAAATCTTCTGCTGCACTGGTCCCAGAATACAAATTGCAGAAGATATTTCTCCTTACTGGAGTCTCTCAGTTCTCTGATCTTGCCCTCAAACTACATTATGCAAAAGTCATCTGAAATTATCTTTGGTCATTTCAGTTTATCCCTTATTTTCCTGAATGATGGGAAGTGGATTTCAAGGTGACTTCTCATTTGCCAAAATCATTACAGCCTGCTCCTGACTGACTGGATGGAAAAAGCAGTACGCGGATGCACTGATTCTGCACAAGCCCATCAAATAAATGTGTGCACTTAATTTCACACACCTCATGCAAATAGTCAATTAATGCTCCTGCTTTGGCACTGAACGCAGATTCCATACATAAGGCTGGGCTTATTTCAGCATGTCCAAGCCTCCATGCAAAATGGAGATTAGACACAGGTTCTGGCTGATAAATTTGTAAAGAGATGTTACCCCAGGCTCCTTGCCACACAAGCACAAATAGGAGTGGGGACATAGTTTCAATGCTAATACAGTCTCTCTTTCCTGGATAATATCTAATCAATTGTTTCCAGCACCCTGATGACTATGATGCACTTCCTAATCCTGCAGTCAGTCTATTAGACATGAATTGAAGTCATCAGCAAGCAAATAATGTTCTCAGAGAGATGACACATTTGCTGTATGCTCACTTGGGGCTATGTTCTTTTTGCCAGACAATAACCCTACTCCAGGAGTGCAGAGGTGTCCATAAGCAGTAGGAAAGAAGAGTTTATTAACCAAGATGGTTATTGCACCGTTAAGAGGAAATGTTCACCATTGCTGAATTCCATAAGAAAGTACCTCATAATTTCTCAGACCTGGGAATGAAATGATGCTCTGGCAGAGAGCTGGGCTGTTCCCTTTCTGTGCGATGGCTGACGCTGGCTGTCAGGTTTTGAGCCCAGAGGACAGCATTCAGATGCTTGCTGAGACAGGCAAAGCCCCTGTTCCTCATGGAGCAGTTTCCTTGCTGGCAGCGCTGCGGGATCACACAAAGTTGGGGTATCCCATGCTGGTGCCAGGCTTGTGCTCAAGAAGAGGGGAAGCTGTTCCTTCACTCATGGTTGTACCCTGGCACTGTTGTGGTTTGTTCTGCAGCAGCTTCGCTGTGAGGAAGCTCATGGTGCAGCAGAATACACTCAGTGACAAGAGGGGCAGGAAGGAGCAAGAGTTGGGTTTGTTGACATGGTAGCTGTAATTCAAGTGCCAAAACATGGGTGGCCTCAGAGCTCTGACAGGTCCCACAGCACTCAGCCTCTTGTTTCTTGGATAAACTGGCATACCCCAAATGGCACAGATGCCTCTGAATTGAGGACTGGGCATATAAGTCTGCTGAGAGGTGCAGAGCAGTGCTCTGACCACAGTGGCTTTGGGAGATCATGAGCAGGTTTACACTGGAAGACAAGACTGTCTCAGCCCATCTTTGGGAAGCATGGGTGCAATGTGAAGGTAGGTCACAGTGGAGGAGTTGTGGAGGCAGCTCTGCATTCCCACGTGTAGGAATGTGGGAACTCAGGACTTGGGAATTCTGCCAGTCCTCACCTGTATTGGAGAATTTAGCTGTCTGGTTTTATTTTCAGGCCATACTTGAAGTGTCCACCTCCTTGGCCTTTTGACTTACGCAATCCCATCACTGCTGCAAACTCCCAAAGAGCCCACTGTAGTCTCACCTCGCTTTGCTTCTCATCATTGAAGCTCCTGCTGTTTTAATACTCTTGTACCTGCCTATTTGAACACCTGGGATTTATAAACGCAGTTCAACAGGTCCCTGTCCCTTGGCTGAGCTGATGAAAGACCATTTTACATCCAGCTTGCAGCAAAGGAACAAGATTTCAAAACTCTGCAGGTTGTCTGGACTTGAATTTTAACATTCATGCTCAGTGCCAATCTTTACTGTCAGTGCCCTCAGCATCAGCATCCTGACAGCGGGCATTTTAACACTGGCTGGGGATTCCCTCAGGGACCAACTCCTCAGGGATGGCACCTACTTCCCTGCACCAGGAACCTCTCCAAACCTTACTTTGTCTTCTGACTGCACCCAGATGCGCACCCCACAGCTGCACTTCACACTTCCCAAGGGGAGCATGGTCATCTCTAGAGCCCACCAGAACCCCTGGGGCTATGGACTGGCTTTGCCAGGAGCCTCCAGGGTCAAAGCATTAATCAGAAGTCTGGTGCGATGAGAGAACAATTTGATTATCAGCCTCGGTTAAAATAACCCCACAGACTCCTTTCCATGTCTCTGATGGTGGGGAAAGCACAGCTTGCTGGGGTGAAGGTAAGTGATGCTGCCTGAACTCATGCAGGCTGCGGTGGGGCCCATCCACAGCACCATGACATAGCCCTCCACAGACACCCCGTCCTGCTTTGAGGAGAGCTGGCTGGCCCAGAGGCTCCTGAGGTCCAGTTTGCTTCTCTCCATAACCACTGTGGACAAGGACACGATGCCACAGAATCCTTTTTTTGCTGATCAGCTGGTGCCTGTTTGAATCATGTGCACAGCCTGTCACCGAGGCTGGCTCAGATACCGCTCTTCTCTCTGCATAGTCTATGGGAATGGCTTGCCTCGCCTTCGTTGGGTGCACACTGTAGACATGTCTTTGTTGTTTCTTTTCAGACAAGCCACGAATGAACAACATCCTTACTTCTGCCACCGAGCCCTATGACCTCTCCTTCTCCCGGTCCTTCCAGAACCTCTCTCACCTCCCACCATCCTATGAGTCTGCCGTCAAGACAAACCCAAGTAAATATTCTTCTCTGAAGAGACTAAGTAGGTGTCAGCTCATTTCATTTCTTTTGTATCTCATTTGCTTGTAAGCCACATTGGGCACAATGTTAAGGCAATAACCTTCTTCCCTCTGTCGTTGTACTGCCCCAGTTGGTGTGTCTGGTAATGATTCTTCTGGCTGTCACTTCCCATTAAGGAAGAGTGTAGAGAAAGAGTCACTTCATTACTGTGAGAGCACCTGTGGTTATTTGCTTATTGACCTCCTTCTGTGTTGCCTCCCATTACACCACCTTGTATCTGCTCCTCATAGAGTCATCTGAGAATCTTCTTTGTGCTGGAGTTGAGATGAACCAAGCTGTCTGCCCCGGATCAGCTGAGTTCACTTTAGTGTACCCAGGGCAGATATCTCCCCATCCATGGGGTAGCTGAAACCAGATGACAAGCCCATGTTGACAGAAAGCTGCTGAAATGGTTGGGAGCATCTATTTCAGTAGGAGGACAGTGGTGTGATCTGCTGCCATGTTTCATGGTGTATGTGTCTGGATCTGGTCCTGACTTGTGCCATGCACTGATGCAAGGACTGTCTCTGTTATTGCAGCGTGTTGCTGCCACCCTGTTCACACTAGTTGGTATCTGTTCTTTCTCACTGTTTTATGTATTGCATTGTTCTGCCAACTTTGCTGTGAATGCTCCAGCCCATCACCTTTGCTGATGGCACTCTTCAGCTTTGGTGGGTTTATGAAATAAGTGGTATTTCTGCAGGCAAATGCTCTCTCCAGGCTGACACTAGGCTTGTAGTATATATGTTTCCCTGAACATTTTCTGGATGCAGCTTGTATTCATACTGCTGAACTTAGAGAAATATCTTAGGTGTTTATCCTTGCAATAGCTTCATTGAAGGTAGGTCAGGATGAGGAGCAGATCCTACTTCCTTAGTATGTATAAAATCTGCATTCCCAATTTAGCCAGCTAAGTGACAGACACAAAATTAAGTGGCAGGGAAGCCCTTGGACTGTCAATAGGGAATCTCTGTGGAAGATTTCTCAGAAAAGAAAATGGAGTGGAAATGTAGCACATAAAAATCTCAGCCCACTCCTTGGTACTTCAGCATGGAACATGTTTAACATTAAGGCAAATACATTTGATGTGTTTAAAAGTAAGATTGTGCTTAACCTTGTTGGAGAACAGAGGTGAGGTAATTTGTGGCTGGAGCCTGCCATCTTCCCTGTTCAGCATGCCACATGCATAACTCTGCTTTACCATGAGCTTTGGTCCCTGACAGCATTTGGATCTCACACTGCCACCCACAAGCATTTTCCCGTCACTACAGCCTAATGATGGACAGTCCATGTTCTTGATCAACTTTGATGGTACTACCTAATATTGAAAACCCTTGAACTCACGGCACTTTAATGTTACTGCTTTAAGATGTGATGATTTATTTTCATTTCTTAGCTGAAATGAAAATTTCTCAGCAGACAAATATAACCTTCTAGATAGCCCTGAAAACTGCTGTTTAATTGGTAATTGATTTGCAGTGCCTGGGATTACCTGGGGTACATACTTCCTCTTCAGAGTCTGGGAGATCTCTGTCCTGGCATCATTGAGAATAGGTTAGAAATGATGGCTGCTCCTGTCATGATGCAGAGGATGGTCAGGACCATTTCTAGCCTGTGGTTTATTTATTGCTTCACATATTGTGCATGGATTCTCAGTGAAATCTCCTTGAGCTCCATATTAAAGCTATTGATGTATCTATCTCACTGGAACATTAAAAAACCAGAAATGGTTTTTTAACTGAAACTCCCACCCCTTCCACAGCCAACATCTAGGAATATATGTCAGATCTGAACACTCTCCTCTACATACTCCTGCAATTCTTACCTCACTCAGACTGAGTCTAAATTCACCCACACCAAGCAATGCCATCTCTTCACTGAGCAATACCTTGCTAAGTGGTGTCTCAGCAGTCTGACCCATTGGGTGCACTGCTCAGCAGTTGAAGAAAGGACGGGCCCTTACTTGTCCACCTTGCCCCTCCGTAGATCACAGAGAAATGAATAAGTATTGAACCCTAGCACTGCATTTGCCAGGTATTTGTCTAAAGTGACAAAAACAGGTTTGTATTGAGGTGCCAAGATTACACATCCTCAAGTACGTGCTGAGTATAGCCAGCGTCCCTCTCTTGAGCTTCTCCTGACGGTGGCCCTGTCCCCATTCAGAGGATACCTGGCAGTGAACATGAACCTAAAAGAACATTACAGTTAGTGTTTGGGCATTGGCTGGAGTGGGGTTCATTCACCCCCTTAGCTTTTCAGCAGCATCCACCCTAGAATGGGTTCCCTGCACACTGCAATGGTAAGAGCAGCTATTTACCCATGACTGGCAGGTTCTAGTTACAGTTCAGTCATCGTTGCAAGGCACCAAACTATCCTTTTGCAAAGCACCTGACAAATGTCAAACCAAGTGCCTCACACTGTATTTTTGACTAACTAGACAGCAGTTCCAGCTCTGAAAGTGCTAAGCACTCCATGCTCCCACTGGGCTTGCATATGCTCAGCTCCTCTGGAATCACTGAATCACTTTCTTATGCCTGGTCTTCTTCAGAGCCAAAGGAAAATAGGCACTCAGGTCCTAGACCTGTCCTTGTTAAATGCCAGCAATACTTTTTCTTGCTCTATATGAGGGAGCTAAAGGCAACACAAATTCCAGGAAAAGTACCTAAATGCTGGGATTTGCAAAGATTTTTTTGTTTTGTTGTATTTTTCATATTTAAAATGACTTGTTTCTAACAAACTCCCTGCCATGGTTAAAAGAAAAGAATGCTGTGAAGAGCTCATTAACAAACATCATATTTCTGAGTAAAACAAAAGGAATTAGCTACATTTTCAATCAACTATTTCAGTTGCCAGACAGCTAAAGGTCACTTATTTTCCCACAATTGACAGTGACAGTGAAATGCAGTTTCTTCCCAAGAGCATCTAAATTGAATAATCAAGGCCTATCCAGGAAGAAATAATGTTTAGTTTAATATCTCCTTGCCAAAAATGAGGAGACATCACTCAGCAAGGGTATGGTGAGATCCACCTCACCCTAGTTTAGCCGTTCAGCAATCAGGCATCTTTGTGCATTTGATGGAGGCATCTCTACAGTCAGTGAAGGACATCTCCATGTGAGCTCTCTGAAGGTCCCAGTCTGTCATTGACACCAGAGTTGCTCTGGTAAGCTTCCTAGCTCTTTGCTGGGTAACAAGCCTAATTTGAGATGCCTAGAGCTTAACGAGGTACATCCCTCTTTAGGAGCCTCATCTCAGTGACTTGTGAAACAAGGAAGAGATGAGCATCTGCTGCATCTGCATCCCTGGGGAATGTGCCCAGCTTGGGGAGGGGACCTCCTCACCACTGGAGTAGCAGGATGGGCACTCACCTCTGCTGGCGTTTGACTAAGAAAGTAGGACCATGGCTTCTTCTTCCAGAGCAAGAGCTTGAAGAGGGTCCAGGCCTTATAGGAGCAGTAGAAAACATGTGGATCTAGCATAGCAGCCAGCCGGAAGCACAGCCTGTGCAAGCAGAGCTATTTCAGCTTCCATGGCTATTTAATTCCGCAGCCTTTACTTCAAGGCACAGACAACAGGAAACCCATTTGTGAAGCTAAGGAGGGGGATCCCTGAGGGGCAGGGTACCACATCCATGGGAAGCCCTATGCCTTGTCAGGCTGGTATGTGGGAAGAGCAGCGGTGGGTGGATGTGGGAACACATGGCTGAGCAAGAGCAGCTGGGTTAATTCTATCCTGCCCAGCACTCCAGGGAACTGGTGCCTCCAGCTAAGTGAGAAAGGTCAGTCAGGAAGGAAGATAATATTTTCAGGCATATTAAGCCACTTGGTATTGGCTAAAGAAGCATCACAAATGACTAGGCAGCTTGGAAATGTTACAGCCAATTAAAACAGGAGAGACAAGCCCAGAGAGGAAATACACTGGAGCTGCAGAGAAAGAAAAGCAAAGAAATTACCTTTAGGTAAAGCAGAGAAATGACTGTGATGGCCTTACAGACATACACAAATGCACGTATTTTAACCATATTCACATACAACTACGAGAAGAAAAAATATCCTTGGCTTTTCCACATTCTCTTTGCAGAATGCCACAAACATACCTCATTTCTCTAATTATAGTGTGAGAGGAGCTGTGCTCTGCCTTTCTGTGATGGCATCTCAGACATGTAGAGGTGAGATGGGTAAGAGCACTCATTTGTGGCGCTGCCTCCAAATGGAAGGAAGGAAAAAAAAACCAGAAAGCTGTCTGAGGGCAAATCAGCTCATATAAAGCCAAGCCAGATGAAGCACTTAAACACTTCTCAAGTTTGATGAGACCATCCATGGTCAATGTTCTAGAAATTGCCAAAGAAAGAAAGGGAGGAAAGAAACAACCAAAACCTATGGAAAAAGGAAACTCCTGAAAATGTGTAGAAAATGTGCTGTCCAGGAATTCAAAATATTTGAAAAACATGAGTGAAGGCCTGGAAGTATGAGATTGACTCAAAAAAAAAGGAGAAACTTCCTTTATCAACCAATACATCAGTGATTTCATTCTGTCTCCACATGGATTCTGGCCCTTTGGAATCCACTAAGGACACATTTTGAATTCTTAAGCACATCCATGAGGCAGAAAGATATTCTATTGTAGTTTTATTTTGGCTAAAAATACAAGTGTCAGTTTCCACATGAGCATCAATGAGAAGATAAGGGGTAGCAGTATCAGAGCCTCACCAGCCCAGTGACCTTCCTGGTGCAATATGGATGAGGTGAATCAGACTGGATGGGACCAGAAACATTCTGATTTTAGGAAACTGTGCAACCAGATAGTCCACAGTTCCCACAGGGTGAAGCACCCAGTGTCTCCACTCTCAAAAGCCTGGAGATGTGTTGGTTTCATCGCTTTCCCTGCGGACAGAGATGCTGCGGTTACAGAGCTCTGCTGAGCTTCTCCCTTGGCATGGAGGCACAAGTGTGACCCAGCACGCTCGGCCTCCTGTCAAGCTACATTCCCCATGACTGGTTCTGCAACACTCATGAACTGACACCACATTCCAGAGGCAACTGCCTGTTAAATGTCTATCTGGTGCCTGCTTAAACCAGCTTGTTGTTCACAGGAAACTGCCATTTCGGCTTTGATTCCTTGGAGATGGAGATGTGAAGTCTTTCTACACCTGAAAATGTTCCCAGAATAACTGTGCCAATATCTACATGTGTCTCTTAGCATCACAGGAGGACACAGCCTGTGTGAGCTTGGGAACACCTATGAAATGAAATCAGTTCCCTCAATGGGTTAACCACTGCCAGCAAAAGGCCATGCAGACCCCTACACTGTGTACAGGGGTGGAAGAAGGAACAAAAAGATGCTTTTAATGCTCTAAGTTGGCAAAAAGTTAAAGTCCAGAGCATGCTGCATTCTTTATCTAAATTGGCAAGGAACAACTTCAAAATACTTTTAATCAGCTGATCCTGCCACCTCACCAGCAGTCTCAGACCACTGTAAACCTCACATAAGCTGGTTTAGCTCCTGCTGGCAATTACCACAGCCAGGTTTGAGCATCCAACCATATCTCCGTTTGGGATATTCTCTGCTGTAATTACGTCTATTTGGAGTCACTTGGGCAAATCCAGTGGACCTTCTGTCATGCAGAGCAGAGGCCAAGCGCCAAAGTGCTAATTGCTTAGCTCCTTTTCAGCATCCAGCTCCAAGCATCATTATCAAGCTTGTGCACACCAAGTGTATGCAAGTCTATCTATGGCCACATTATAGACTAACAATGTCTACAATTACTGTGGCCATATGGAATTTTCCCAGTCCTTCTCAGGCTTCCTAGACGATGATTTTAAAGACACAAGAGCTTGAAAGCAGGGGAGCCATTGTCTGATATTTGCAATGAGATATTCTTCCAAAAAGCTTAAAAAAAAAACTTATTCTACAATATATACTCTGGAGAGCAAATCCCATCAGCAGCAAGCTGATGTAGAGAAGAGCTCTGGGTAACTCTCCACCAAGGAGAGCCTTGGTGGTGTGTAGGCTGTAAAGAAGAGGTTGGCAGCAAGAGCGGTGCCAACAGGCTGTGCATTTTGGCATGCATATTCTCAGCTTGTACTTTTGGATGCTGAGACATGGGGATCAACCATCCTCCTCACAGGTCCTCTGGGTTATGTGGACTGTTCTCAGGACCATGAGGAGTAAAGTCCAGGAGGCAGTGAGGGAGGGCTGAATGTATAGGAGATGAGGAAATTAGAGCATGAGATCCAGCACAAGGTGCTTACAGCACTCAGGGTTTAGCTGAAGGCTTTAAGGCACCAATGCATAACTTACCTTGTGAGCAAACTTCCAGGATGTTGTGAGTACCTATCACACACCATAGAATCACAGGATGGCTTGGGCTGGAAGGGACCATAATCTTCATATTACAAGTTGGTTGAATCAGGTCATTCCAGCTGATATATCAGGATGCATCTGCAGTAGCCAACATCCTTTCTGAGTCTAAAAGCCAAAAAGAGGGGGGGGGGGGGGAGTGGGTGAGCTGAGTTCCTGAGCAACAGAGAGAAGCAAATCGAGCAAGAACAATTGCATGGAATAAATTGCATTCTATCAACCAAGGTGTCTGAAAAATGGAAAATGAGACCCCAGAGAGATGATTCAGACTCTCAGAGAGAGCATCCCATGCCCACCAAACCTGCTCTGTGATCACATTTAAAAAGACTCAGAAGTAGTCATTAAAGATGTGAGGAAGTCAGTCATGGATTCCAGAGCACACCCACGTCTGAAGCCAGAAGTGAGGTATGAGTTTCTACAAATGGGGAACTTGCCTACCTCAGCTCACCTTCCCTGTGCTTTCTATATAAGTGTATTGTGAAGGTGACACTTGATAATTTCCCCATGACTCACCATTTGTGTAAATCAACCAACACCACAGTCTGGACTCGACAACGTATGGTCTGTTGTGTCATGGTGCAAGGTGTGTTGTGTTGCACAGGGTCTTATACTGTCTGTGTGCAATTATAACACTCTTTGTCTGCTATAAGCCCATGGTGACACAACCCACACAGGGCTGGCATCTCTGACATGGATGTCCATGCCCCAGTCCAGGTGCTGGTAGATGGTGCCTTGGAGGAGGCAGCTGGTCCAAGGCAGTGTGCTGTACACAGTCCCTTTCACCCCATGGGACAGCGCTCTGACATTCCTAACTCTTCCCTTTCCTTTCCCACAGCTGACAAAGAGGCTGATGAGTACTACATGAGGAGGAGACACTTGCCAGACCTGGCAGCCCGGGGCACGCTCCCTATCAACGTCATCAAAATGTCTCAACAGACCAACCAGAGGGACAGGCCCCGCCGTCCCATCAGGGCCATGTCCCAGGACAGAGTGCTGTCCCCTGAGAGGATCATGCCCGAGGAGTTTAGCATGTCCTATGAACGGATCCTCTCAGATGAGCAGCTCCTGTCCGCAGAACGCCTCCACTCCCAAGACCCGCTGCTCTCCCCGGAGCGGTCGGGGTACCCTGAGCAGTCTATGTCACGGGCACTGTCACACACAGACGTCTTTGTATCAACACCCGTCTTGGATCGATACAGGATGACAAAAATGCACTCCCATCCTAGTGCCTCAAATAACTTGTACAATACCTTAGGTATGAACCCGACCTCCGCCAAGCGCCAAGCATTTGCCTCCCGACGGCACAACACGGTAGAACAACTGCATTATATTCCAGGACACCACCATCACTACCGCACAGCGAGCAAAACAGAGGTGACTGTTTGATAGGACCTCGTGCATTGTAGATACTCATTAAGGACTGGGGTGGCCACAGCACCCCAGACTGCAGTGGCCTTATAGGCCAAGATAACCTCTAATAACTCAGTGTCTGAAAAGACTTCTCTGACAGTCCCATCCACGTTGTTGTTTTTAAAGCCACCCCTTCATCGGTGATGACATAAGAAGAACCCAAGCAAGCAAGCAGATGGTAGTGAGAGATAATAGGGGAAATTTCTTGATGTGCATCAGTTTCTGTCAAAGAAAGCCATAGTAGTCAATGGCTCCTTCTAAGGGCTCACCTGCATTATCTCATTGTCCTTATGAATTTAGGACTTTTCAGTTGCTACAGGTAGAAGCAGTCTCATGCAGCCCAAGACAGGGAGGAGGAAATGCAGCACCCAGTTCTGGCAGGAAGGACTACTGCTCTTGGTCTGTATGCCAGCCCTCATGTCTGGCCTTTCTGTAGCAAGAAGGTAAGCTTCTGGCTGCTGGGGATCACCTCCAGACTGCTCACTATCAGTCAGAACCCGTACATCTGTTTTCCATCACCCTTGGAGTGAATTCAAGGGCAGACTTTCTTAGGGGACTGGCAGATCTAGGGACAAGAATAGCCTGGCTGAGAAATAAAGGTTTAGTTTATATTAAATATATTCATAAGATAAAAACATACTAGTGCCTACAAATCGCCTGCTCTCTCAGTGTAGGAAGTAGTGGGGTTGATGTGTTCAATAAGCACAAATATGCTGAAATGCTTGTTAGACCCTTTCCCCACTCATTCTAGTATCTTGGTGTCTCCAACATGTAAATAGGAAGGAGGAAGAGGGTTTCTCTTCCTTCAGCTTCTTGCCACTGCTGAACCTAAAGCACCAGAATTCGTCCAGCTTCGCACTGCTGACCTGTGCTGGGGGAAGTCCTGACTCCACTGAGACCCCTGCAAGGCCAAGGCTACCACACACTCACTGAGCCTGTTTATTTTCCTGAAAGCATCTTCCACTGGCCCAGTTCCCCCATTTCTGAACAAACGTTCTCTCAGTTACATCTAGAACTCCATATGTAGCAGATCTTTTTCTAGCCCTTAGCAGAAGCACAAAGCTGAGGGTGTCTCACCTACAGAAAAAGAGGTCGGTTATTTTCCATTATCTTCTCTCCATCTGCAAGAAAACCTTCCAAATTCCAAATCCACTGAGTACCAATCCTAACCATGAAGACAGTTACATTTCATGCATAGAAATTATATATCCAGCATAATTATAATAAGTGGGCATGTTGTATATCTGATTGATGCTAATTAGATACTGTATATTTGTAACATCTGTAAAACATAGACTCGTGGGTCCAGAATTTGTGAGGGTTTTATCTTTGGTTTTCAAGCCAGATTGGGCTTTGCTTTGGTTTCTGTTGGTTTCTTTTGGTTTGGGTTGGGTTTTTTTCCTTGTATTTGTGTTCCTATCAAATTCTGTAGAACTAACTCACACTAGAGCATACTTCTGTGGCCAGGAAAGGGTCTCAGAGGTCTTGAAGGCCAGCCAGACCCAGTGCTGTAACTGTTAGTTCTGGACTCACTGTCCTTGGTGTGCATTCAAAGCCCCACCACATGCACACACCCATGCTGCTAATCCCAATGAGAGGCATGCTTGTCCTCCAGCTGAAACGACAACTGACTGCAGGCTGTAAACACATTCCCATCCAGTATTTCTCTCTTCATGCCCTACATTCCCACACTGACCCTTTTCCTACATGGCTTTTTACTTCATTTAAATTAGGTCTGCCCTTCTCCCTCCCCTCAAATACCTCCCACCTCCTGGCCTTAATGATGTTCCCAGCTCAACACATCATTGCTGTAGCATATAATGACTGTAGGTTGTTGTGAGCTTGAGTCTTCTGTGGAGGCTTATGATATAGCACCAGGTTTATCTGGTGCAGGGTAGGCAGGGAGAGCATGCCATCTTCCCCTGGTGGGATTTAGAGGTAGGAGGCCTCAGTGGGGTGGCCATGTGGCCTTTCCCATTCCCAGACTGTCTTCGTTCTTGGGCTTTCTTCTGCCTCACCTGATGGTGAAAGGACTCCGGCTGTCACACGTCCTGGGGCTTTGTTTGGCGGAAACTGAGCTGGGAAGGAATGAATAAGAGTCTCCACGGTTCAGGTGGTCATTACCATGCAGCCTTGGGCAAAATCAATCAGGCAACCACCAGAAAAAAGGCTCACAGCTCATCTCCTTCCCTTGATGGACACTTCCTCCCCTGACTACCTCCAAGCTCTTCAGTTCAGTCACTGGTTACTTCTTCACGGAAGGCAATCCCTGTGAAAGCATTGCACTTGCTGACCTTCCCACAGACCGGAGCTTGTGCCTCTTGAAGAGAAGAGAATCACACATGGCTCATGGGGAGGCAACCCCCGCTGAGGTTCTGGGGCTCTTCCATCCTCTCATGGCCCAAGCAAAGCCAGGATCTTCCGCCCTGCAAGCAGGGAGATGTGAACACTGTGGGAGAGGGGAGGCGATCCCAGAATCTCCAGGAGTTAAGATGGAAGAGTCGGAGGAGCAAAGGTGACCATGTGAGGCTGCGGGTAGGTGAACTCTCCTCTCTATCCATTTCCGTACTGTGTGTCTCAAGCTCTAGTCTTTGTTTAAATGTTCTGTTCATGAACATAAGAAACTGCTGGACCAAATGCCAATATGGACACGTTTCACTCAAGTAGCTCATGCTGTGCTGTGCTCCAGCCCATTTGACCTCAGAGCCTTCTCTTATTCTGACCAAGGCCCTCTTCTAACTTGTCCTACCTGGGCAGCAATCCTCCAAAGAAAACGTAGCCCCATTTCCTCATCTTTTCTATCAGCTCAACAGTTTCAAGCAGATGTGCCCCACGAGAACCATCAAAAAGACTTTCTAGGCCAAATCTCTTCAGGGACTCTGCCACCACCACAGAAAATTTTCAGCAAATTTCTTTGGGAAGGCACCATGATCACAATTTGTTCCTGCGCACCATGTCTTCCCATGGCTTGCTGTGTGTGCTGGAATGCGTTGATAGCTACAACACTGACATTGCAGCACACTGAGGTGTTCTTATGTCATTTGTTACCTTATTCTGTGTTCTGAGAGTTTGTCACTGAAAGGACACTTGGTTCAGGACTGGGTGTCATGATCCACAGGCTGGTCCCAAGCACTTTGGTTCCCCATGGTCAACATGTGTGATAATGGTAACGCTTCCCTATTCTGCAGAGGCATTATGAGGGTTCATACCATAATGTTGATGAAGTGCTTTGAGACCCTCCCACAACAGATACTGTAGAGCAGCAAAGCATTTTTATTAACATTGTTTGTCACCATTATCCTGCCACATCACATCTGATGTGTTGCAAGCCAGTGTCTGTCCAGAATGAGAGTGCTGGGGTAGGGGGATGCAGTTGCCCAGATTTCCTATTGCTCTCCTTCTGGTCAGGGTCTCTCACAGGCAAGCAGCTCTGAGGGATGCTGTGACCTGCACTTGGACCTTTCTGTTTTCTTCTCCTCATGTCTGAGTCACCTTAATGTTCAGCACTCAGGAGAAAAGCAGGAAGCAGTCACTCTCCTCTGTACAGTAAAATATCATCTGCCTTGATTCACCTAATATACTCTGAAGAATTGATCTGTCTTTCTCTCCAACCCCCAGGTGGAAACACACATCTGTGGAGTGTCCAGTTCCCAAAGTGCATGTGCAGGGACTGGGGGAGGGTGATGTGGAAAACTTTATATCGCTTCCTACAAACTGATAATGGTTTGCATTCCCCAAGCAGCAACACGTAAGAGTGAGCTGCACTGATTTTGTACAACTCTCCTTGATAGAGCTACACGTATGTATATGTATATACACACAAACACATGTATATACATACATACTGTAAATGCAGTCATTAAGCTCTGACTGACCCTGTACCAGTCTAAGCTTCCAAACTATGTTGAATCCTTCTTTGAAATGTGAAAAACTATTTGTAATGAACCACACAGAACACCACATGGAATGGAGATTTTGTCATAAAAGTCTTCTAATGCCACTGAATTGTGTTTTAAGGAAAAAACAAAATATTTTTCAATGTTTTAATGTTCCTTTTATAAATGAGGATCTGTTACTTGGGGGTGGGGGGATGTGTGGGTGGGAAGAAACAGGGACAGTTACCCGGGAGTAAGCCCTCCTTTCCTGGCCTAGATTTCATTTCTGTCTACTGTTCTGCTAGCCTGGCTAACTGCAAAGCTGGTCCCATGAGCCTGGGCTTCCCTCATGCATATTTCTGTTGAGAAGCATTCCCACCAGGAATCCACAAGGCCTTGGCATCAAGCTTTTATAAGGGATGGGTAGTTCCCGGTAGCTGGGAAGATGTCTCCATCTTCTTCCACCACAATAAACTTAACTATCATGAAAGAGGGTGACTCCAATTGTATTTGAAATAAATGTTCGGATTTGCAATCAATTTGCCGTTCTTCAGTTTATGTGATGGAGAAAAAGATCATCTTAGTTTTCTTTCAGATTTAGTGCTTATCCTGGAAGGAGGGACTCCGCTGAAATACACTTAACAAACACATTTCATGTGCAAGTGTGTTTCAGACGAGTGAAAAGCTGGTGGGGGTTAAATATTTTGATAAACAGTGTTGTTAGCAATAAGCCTGTGTGGTGGCTGCTTCTTAGAGAACAGCCACTTCTGTGTTGTATGTCCCTAAGTGGATGGTCGAAGGTCTCGATCCCAGCCTCTCTTAGCTGGTTCAAGGAGGTGCCCAAATCCAGCTGGGAAGACCAACCTACGCTTCACCCGCTGGCTGCCCGGGGCGAGGGGAGAGTTGGACAATCCCGTTCCAGCACGTCAGTGTACATCTGGAATAGGTCTCTGCTCCCAGCAACACATGAAGAGGCATCCCGTGGCTCCAGCAGGAGGTCGCCATCCCCACCAGCTCCGCTGCAGGCGGACGTGCGTCGCTGCCCGTGTGCTCCGCGATGGCTCCTGACCTTCTGTCTGCAAACCCCTCCGACGTTTTTGTAGCAAGAATTTCTTGGCTCTGAGAAAGACACTTCTTACTGTAGGCTTTTTAGTTTGGGGGACAGTATTTCCTAAGAGGGGGTAAGTGGATATTTTTGTGCTTTAGCCCGGTTTATGGATTCCATGTTTATTATACAGTAGTACTGAAGAGGAAGTACATTTGTATCTGTAACTTTGCACAGACTCTTGGTTGACCATTAAACAAGCTTCAAGATGAGCAGTATTTGACTGTTTTTCTCTGTATTATTCTCGTTGTTATACTTACCTGTAAAAGCACATTCTGTATGTACTGTAAACAAAAATATTATCAGTTTAGTAAAATTTAGAGTCTTAAGGATTTTTCCACTTTTGTCAGTAACAAATATTTATGGATTAAAAAATAAAGGCAATTTCAACATATAAATTGTTTCTTTTGGTATCTATTGGGGGGGTGGGGGAAAGGCCATTTTCTTGGCAACCTTCCCAATCTTTGTAACCAGCAATTGAAAGGTAGATATCTATATTTCTGTGTGTAGTTAAATTGCAGCTATTAAAATGAATGCTACAAGGCCTGGAAGAGTCATTATTTTTACATAATTCTTTACTGCATTTCATCATCATTCCAGAAAATAGCAGGGGAAGAAACGAGATGTTCCTATTTGCTGTTGAATTTTATCATGCAAGCCCATAAGGTTTTATTTCCATGTTGTCCTTCTTTAATTTTCCATTTAGAAGCCACGATCCATTCTCTATCTAGAACACCTTGTATTTAAATGCAGAGCTTGTGAAATGTCCCATAACGCTGGAGGCTTCTGTGGGTGCTTTGCTTTTGCTGCTGGCAATGCTGCACATGCAGGAGTTTCCCTGTCATTCTTCCAAGATGTGGGAAGTGCCAAGGAGGCCGGGGTGTTTTCCTCACTAAACAGCTCCCACTACTACCACTGCAGTTTCATTTCTACAAGCTCCGAGTCCGGATTTATTATTACTATGTCTTGATGGGAAACATGGCAGGGTTTTTCCTTATTTCATACTTCCATTTTCATATCACTTTGCCTTCAGCATTATGCAGATTTTCCTGCATTAAAAATGTGATGTTTTGGAATGGTTGCTGGGAATAAAAATCATTGATGCATCAGAACCCTTTCATACCACAGCACTGGGAGCAGATGAAGGAGGGCAGGCACTGTGGTGGTGCTTCCCTCCCACTGTGGAGCTGCTGGATGCCCATCCATGTGCTCCAGGGCTTTGGGAGAAGCTCTCCTCATCCAGTCGTGCCACATCACACCACATCTGCCCCTGTCCCTTCTCTGCTAGCTTGCAGCTCTGGTGCTGAGTTTCAGAGTTCTACTGAGATAACATCACAGGGCTAATGCCCCACAGGTCCTTCCCCACTGCTACTTTGATGTGATGCAGAGGTTATCACATCACCACCACTCACCCATCAATCCCAAGCACTCATTCGCACTCTTTCCTTAGGCATAGCTTTCTCCTGCTTTGCTGTTCAGCTTAAATAGATTAAACAAGCTTTGAGGAGTAAAAGCCACTGCCACCAAGAGAAGGTCCTTTTGTAGCCAGGTTAGTGCTTGAGGTCTCCTATCTCCCTAAGATCAGAGCTCAGAGTCAGCAAGACGTCATCAGCATTTCCTAAGAAACACATGAACCCAGAAGAGTGAATTAAAATGCATTTTTAAGTGAGAAGTTTCATTTTTCCTGGCAGTTCTATTTGTAACTTCCCAATCCTTTGTAGCACCAATAAGTGGGGAGGGAGCGATGGGGAATTACGGTTCAGAGTGCAGAGCTGTTCTGTCAGACCTGCCTGGTGGACAGGGGCAGACTGAGCAGGTTGTGAGACCCAGCAGATACCTTCCCTGAGGACCCAGAGGCAGCAGAGCACACAAAGGGCAAGACCAGCTGTAGCAGGGGTCTGTCAAATATCTGACTTATATCTGGAAGGACTTGGGGTGGTCATGATGGGTGTGGGGTTACCTGAGGAGCAATAGAGCTGGATTGTGTCAGCCGTTTCTTATCCTTAATAGAGACAGCTTGCCCACAGGTGGCTCCTACAGCA